TAAATCAGAACCAGGAAAAACCCCAAGAAATAGCCATCTTGTTTATCCTCCAAACAGGTGGTATTTGAGCATGAGTCACTGAAAGAGTCTATACTGCGGTGGATTTTACCTGTAGCCGGATAACTACATTAGCATTAGCGTCGCATGGCAGGGTACAACTCAAAGCACCATAGAACAATTCTATTTTTTAATCTTTGTCACTTCAACACTAGTCTTTTGAAGTTGTGCTCTCAGATACGAGTCTTTATCTTCTAAACGGGTGTTTTTAAGCATCGGTTAGGTAGAACAGAGCCCATACTGCTGTGGGAGGCACCATGCACTCACGTTAGCTTAGCCAAGCAGGCTAAAGCTTAAAGCTCTAACAAAACAGGTCTGATTTCAGCTTTCCGTCACACCAACACTGATCAGTCGACTATGCTCTCACTATTCTAACTTTTTATCATCTATACTTGTGATAGTAGAGCAGTTAAGTTAGTTGATCCAAACGTGCACTGTGGTGTTTGGATCTCTTTAGCTAAATTAACTAGGAGACAAGAGCCAGCTAGCATTAGCTTAGCTAGGAGGCTCCAGCATCAGACACCAAAGAAGAGGTTAATTTCAGCTTTCTGTCCCTCTAACATCAGCCACTCGACTTCGCTTCCTCACATATGAATCATTACCAGCTAAATTTGCGTCAGTAAAGCTTTTGTTAATCAGAATCAAATCTGTTCTGTGGTGAGCAGCACTGGCAGCATGCTGGCTAAGCTAACGCTAACCAGCTACTCTCTTCTAGCTGGTTAGGCAGGGCCGTTTAACATTTAGAAATTGGTTTTAGACTGAAGCTTTGATGTTTCTTGAAAGATGGATTTAAAATCATGCACTGCTTTAATTTATTTGAGCAAACTGAATTATTTTAATGCTTTCAGGTTTGAAACAGCACAGCAGGATGCTGTGGCAAAATACCGATATAAACATAGAACCAGTCAGCGAACAGCTACGTCGTTACATCATCCCACCGAATGGTTAGCTAACCTTGCCCAAAACCCCGAGCCTGGTTCTTAGGCGTTCCGTGTCAAACCGTGTCTTTGTGGGAACGCCACTGGAACGGTTACCCTCCATGCTCAGAACCGTTCGGCCCTCCAGTGGAAAAGAGGCCAATGTGACAAACCAACCAAATCTTTTCAGGTGACCTAGCATCCCTTCATCTTTTCAGCCAAAAAAAAGCATTCATGGCTGGACTGGACTGATTGGCCTTGGCATAGGGACAACTGCTGTCAGAATGTGACTGCACTGAATCTCCACAAAAATTAGTTGAAGTTCAACCAAATCTTTTTGGGTGACTCAACATCCCTTTACCTTTCAGTACAGTCAACTATTGATGTTGCTCACTAACCGGGCCCAAAAAACGGGAGGTGAACGTCCACGTTGGATAATTATGTTTCAGTCTCGTTCTCATCACAATTAAGTCTGGAGAGATGCAAGGGACTCTCAGTACTTAAAGCAAATAAGGGTCAGGGTCTTTAAAGACATGACAGAGAAGCAAGAGCTAAACTGTGACTGCTGGTAGATCAAGCTTGGAAAGAAGGCAAGAAAGCTGGATTTAATGGTCCTGTGGGGATCACTGATGGCATAAGTTTTTTTGCGGATAGATTATAAGAACTATACAGAGACACTGGCATTTCAGATGACTCAGCCCTGTGAAACTATAAAGTGCTGAAGGGGATTCCTTCCAGCTTAGTTTTACTTTGAAAGAAGAAAGGATGGTGAAGGATTCATGGTTACATTATTCAGAGGGTAAAGTTGGATGCAAAGTTTTGCACTTTCATTCTACTGCTATAACTTACACTTTTGTGCGTTTTTCAGTGTTTAAACTTACCTAGTGTTCTTATGCCTTTTAAAATTTCTTTGTTTTCTCTAAATGTACGGGGGATTCGTGACTTGAATAAGTGAAAAGCTTTGTTTTGTTTTGTACTTTGCAATGAAAAGATGTTTATTTTTTGCAGGAAACTCATTCTTGTGTTGATGATGAACATTTCTGGCAAACTCAGTGGCAAGGTAACATTTTGTTTTGCCATGGCACAAATCGTTTAGGAGGTGTTTTGGTTTTGTTTAGCCATAATTTTAAAGGCAACGTCATCGAAACTCATTGAGAGTAGAAGGATTATTACAGTATTGCAAACAGAAGATTTTAGACTTGCAAAATAAATTTCCAACAGCTGATGTTATTACGGGGGGTGGGGACTTTAATGAGGTATCTGATTTATACTTCCATAGATTTCCACCAAGAGGAAATGCTATTTCCCCCTAATTGGGTCATTCAAAACTTTATTAATGATCTTTCTTTTGTAGATGCTTTTCAGTTCAGACATGAAAATACTCTATGTTTACATGGTTTAGGACAGACCTGTCACAGGAATCACAACTTGACTTTTGGTTAATCTCTGAGTAGCTAAGGCCTCTGATCACTAATTGTGATATTTCTCCAGCCCCACTAACGGATCATGCATGCATTACTTTGTGTCTGTCCACTAATAAAATGGCCAGACAAAAAAGTATAGGTTATTGGAACTTAAATTCAACTTTGTTGCAAAATCCAATATATTGTAGTAACAAACATTATAACACAGTACATAAAGAATACTGAAGGTGCGCCCAAAAATAGGAAATGTTTAAATATGAATTTAGAAAATATTCTTTTGCATTTAGTAAGCAACTTTCTAAACAAAAAAATCTCTGGTATGCTAACATCCTAAAGGAATTGAATTGCTTGTTTGGATCACCTTCACTAAGCTTAGATGAAGAAAGGTTACATAAATTAAAAGAGGAACTTAATATGTTCTGTATTGATAAAGCTAAGGGAGTATTCATTAGGTTAAGAACCAAATGGCTTGAATTTGGAGGAAGAAATTCTTCACATTTTTTAAATCTGGAAAAAAAGAGGGCAGAACTCAAAAATCTCTCAGCTTTGCATATTAATGGATGATTGGTCACAGATGAACATAAGATATCTGAGTATGTGTAAGTTTTACCAATTACTGTACTCTTCCTCTTTTATTTCTTATTCAGCAGATTTTTTTTCTTTACGAAAGCATCTCCGTTTCTTGATACCATAACTGAAGAGTGCCACAGTAATTGTAAGAGTGTCCCTGCGCTATATATGCATATGATTATTAACTTTTAATAAAAGTTCTGGACCAGACGGTTTACCTTCTGAGTTTTACAGAACATTCTGGCAGGATATTACACAGTTTCTTTTGGAAGTTCTTAAGGAGTGTATTAATTCCCCCTTTTCAACAAAACTATGAAGCAAGGACTGATTAGATTAACTCCAAAACCTAATAAAGATAAGCTTCATTTGGATAATTGGCACCCAATAATATTACTCAATACCGATTACAAGTTATTAGCATCTCTATATGCCAATAGATTAAAACCCTGCTTAGAGGATATAATATCTGTTTCTCAATCTAGTTTTATGAAAGGTAGACATATATCAAATAATATCCGACTTATTTTGGATCTTTTGGACTATCCAGAATTGGTTAATGAGGGAGCTGTTATTTTATTTTTGGATTTTTATAAACCATTTGATACAGTGGAACATAAATTTATTTTTGAAATGCTACTTTGGTTTTTGTTGTAATTTCTGTAAGGTTATTCAAGCCTTTTATGAAGACATTAACAGTAACTTTTCCTTATGTAATGGTGTCTCCACACTTTGCAATTAATCTCACCTTACCTGTTTCTACTAGTAGCTGAGCTTCTTAATCGTTATATCCGGCACTGTTCTAAAATAGAGGGTATCAATATATCGGAAGAGGTGTATGTAATTAGTCAACTGGTAGACAATACTTGTTTATTTTTAAAGGAAGAGAGTTAGGTTACTAATACCCTAAAAGTGCTACAACTGTTTTCAGAAGCATCAAGTTTATTGGTGAATCGAAGTAAATCAGAAATAATGACTGTACATGATAAGAAATATTACTCAGATTAATGGAATTCAAGTTAAAGAATCGGTTAGGTATCTTGGAATATTGATCAGTAAAACACCTTCTGCCAGAATTGAGTAGAATTTCCATAAACAGTTCCATAAAGTTAAAACCATTTTTGGGTGTTGGCTACAAAGAAAACTGACCCTTCAAGGACAGGTATAATGATCAAAGGTAGAGGATATTTCAAGAGTGGTATATCCTTCTCTATCCTTGTATGTTGACTCCAAAACCTCCACAACTATAGACTAAATGATATTTAAGTTTATTTGGAATAATAAAACAGAGTATATAAAGTGAGTATATAAAACTCATTTTGCTCTTTTTCTTTTTTTGGGGATTTTGAAGACTAATAAATAATAAAAAAAGACAAAAAAGAAAAAAACATGTAGCTGCAGGCTAATAACTATTTTCAACTACAAGAAAAAAAAAATCTAATTTCAGTCTCACTACAGCTCCTTGGAAATCTCACCCCATTCATTTCACCTAAGTTAGCAACCATGCGTTAACCTACGCATTTTTCTAAAATGGTGACCACGCGTTTATTTACAATAACATAATTCGACCGTGTACTCACCAGGCAGGAAGCCGATCAGTGTACTTTATGTTGTTTGGATCAGAAAAGAGCCTCAACGTTCTGAGTCCTGTTCTAACTATCGTAACCCCAAAACCACTTACACTTAGTTAGTAGTCATAAGTATCGTAAATACGGTAAATAACTATAACAGCATCAAGTGTAATGGACAATTAATCTTGCCTTATGTTGTGAAAGGATCCATTCTGTATAGCTATCCAACGACGCTTAAGTTCAAATTACGTGCTAAACTGCAGTAGCATGACATCTAGCTAGCTTTGCTAGCTACCTAGTCAACCGAAGACCTTGCTTGACTTTGGTCTGGGTCTCTCTATTAGTGAACAGAAAAAGTCCTTTACCCCCCAGAAACATCACATACACCAAATACAAATCACAATCGACCGTAACTAATCGATAAAAAGGAACTAGAGCACGAAATCAACATTTTATACACCTACCTTACTGCTAAACGACCCCTTTCTTGCGCGTTGCAAATGTCTATCCGAATAGGCACGCAATATCCGGTTCCTTAATGTTTTTTTAGGTGTCGGTCACAGAGCACAAATGCAGAGCGAGGGAGAGCACTTTCACCATAGATATACATACCTAGACGCTGCATTGGGTCCAGCCAGGCACGTCAACGGCGCCGCCATTTTGGGGCGGTCAACATTGCTGCTGGACTGCATTCAGTACCATTACAAAGCGGCAGTTTGAGAAAGATGCTGTCCATAATTATACTATTTCAAGAATATTGCACTCAGAAAGCAGGATAGGATTATATAACGGAGGGAACGCAGCAATCCACGCTCATGTTTGTGTGATACGTATTGTTTATGTGATGTTTATGCATAAATATGGCCGTGGTTGGTGATGCACAAAGAACCTGTTGATGTGATTGTTTTCCCTCTGTTTTTTTATTAAGCTTATTTCATTTAATAGTTTCTGGGGATCTTAACTTTATGTAATAGTTATTTATTTACAATGATGGTTAATGCTTTGTATCTAGGTAAGTTATAGTATTCCATAATCTGTCATATGCATAACATTAGCACCTTTTTACACAAACCTGAAGTTAGCTTGTTATTTGCCAGCTTGTTGTTCCAATTTTCCCGTTTCATCTTAAGTGGTGCATCCGCCACCATCTTGTTCGAAATTTCCCATTCCACCTTAAATGGTGCCTGACTGTCACTACCCACGTTGTCTGTTCGCGAGCTTACAAGCTCGCATACTTTCTGTGGTTTCGTATTGCCTGTCGTGGATGCTCCACGTGATGTTATGAAATTTTATGATAAGTTTTTATGAAAAACGATTCTTTTACAGTTCTAACTATGGCGACGTTCAGAATACCACCACCATTTAAGGTGGAGCGGGAAAATTTAAACAAGAAGCTGGTGAATAGACATCCAACTTTAGCCTCATCCTCATGTGAACCTAAATGTAAGATAACCTGTAACATAATATGTTTTGGTGCCTAGTACTAGTTAGTACTACCGAATAACAAACATACGAGGACTGTAGGAGATATTCATTGTTTATTTAACAAATGCACGTTTCACAATGAAATATTAGTGTGTCTTCCAAAGCCAAAGCCTTCACGCGACATCTGCAGTTGTTCATTTTCTTCACAATTATGTCATATTGTTCACTGAAGCCAGGCAAATGTCGTCTCTGCAAGAAGTATGCTGAGGCCTTCAGGCGATATGTCTGCACGTCCAAGGTCAAGATCCGCTTGTGAACAAATTCACTTGTATTGAGAAGTGATGAGTTCTCAGGATTAAATCATCCACAACTTCTTTATTACTCAACTGATTTTCACCAAGTTTGTTTTGTTATAATCCTCAGACATGGATTAATCTAGGTTGCATGAACTACTTTCGGTAGCTTGTATTTCTTTAATAACTGATCGTGCTAATTAGCCATCTGAACCAGCAGAAAAGTATTCAGTCTGCACCTGATGTTAAAAACCAAGTTTAGCGTGAGCTCCGGTAGAAACATAATCTCACACACATCAGCAAATCCATGTGTCTCAATACACTTAAAGATAAAATAAATCCCCCAAAACACAGCAAGAAGGACGAAGCTAAAGCTGGCTTCCTATTCGCCAGCTTCTTGTTTGAGTTTTCTTATTCCACCTTAAATGGTGCAGCAGTCACTTTCTCGTGCCTGAAGCTGCACCATTTAAGGTGGAATTGGAAAATTCGAACAAGAAGCTGGAAAATAAGAAGCTAACTTCAGGTTCATGTAAGAAGGTGCTAATGTTAATCTATTATGAATATCTCAAAATGAGGAATGCTATAACTATAACTACAAAGCATTAACCATCATTATACATAAATAACTACTACATAAAGTTAAGATCCCCTGAGACTATTAAATGAAATAAGCTTAATATAAGACCAGAGAAAAAATAATCAAAAACATCAAGAGGTTCTTTGTGCATCACCAACCACATGGCCATATCTACACATAAAAATCACATAAACAGTACACATCACACAAACATGAGCGTGGATTGCTGCGTTCCCTCCGTTGTATATTCCTATCCTGCTTTCTGAGTGCAATATTCTTGAAATAGTATAATTTTGGACAACATCTTTCTTAAACTTCCGCTCTGAAATGGTACCGAATGCAGTCCAGCAGCGATATTGACCGCCCCAAAATGGCGGCGCCGTTGACGTGCCTGGCTGGACCCAACGCGGCATCTAGGTATGCATAGACGTGTTCGACTTAACCCGGCGCTGCGCAGACCGATCGCCGCCAGGCTCAGTACGGTGCATGCCGGTTAGTTTTTTTGTCCGATTTGCTTCGGCGCCATCGGCGCGTCATGATGACATACGGCGTTATAATCTCACGAGTTCAAGGCGGCTGCAGGCTTCAGAACCAGTCGCTGCAGTTGCTTCGCCCGAGCTGCGCGAGCTGATAGATGGCTTGATGACGACAGAGCTTAATCCACATTGGCTAGAAGCTCTGCTGACACCTATGACGTCTGTTTCGTTTTATTCTAAAATGAAACTTTTTTTTCTAAAATGTAAATCTCAGCTGTAGCTCTTAAAGACCCTGTATGTACACTAGAGATGAAACGGTTACCGGTTTCACGGTAAACCGCGGTAAAATTAACGACGGTTAGTAGTACCGTTTGAACTTCAAAGTATCGTTAAAACCGCGGTCGATTACCGCGGTGTGAAAACTCGGAGATTCGGAGATATTTCAGCCTTCTAAGAAGACCAAGTCTGACGTTTGGTCATATTTTGGGTTTTATAAGGATGCAGAAGGAAAGTTAATTGAAGATGACCACCCTGTCTGCAGAACATGCCGAAAGAAAATAGCGGCGAAAGGGGGCAACACATCAAACTTTACGAGTCATTTCGCGACCACCACCCGCTACTTTTTAGAGAATGCAAGGTTAACTTTAACGTAGAAGTCTGTGAGGACTTCGAAATAGAAGAAATGTCACGGTTTGTGTGGTTTAACCTATGCTTATGGTTCGTTAATCATATAAAATGAAGCTTTTAGCGTCAAAAAAAGAAAAACAATCGGTGAATCAACTGTGAATCGAAACTAAAGCTTTTAACACATTTCTGTGGAGCAGAGTCTCCAAAATGAGCTCTGAGTTAACAGTCACACGAGCTCTGGAACGAGACGCTGCAGAGGTTCAATCTGCACAGCTCCCCTTTCTCGTCTCGCTTGCAGTGTTTACTGTCTGAGAATAACACCGTCTCAAATCACTCAGTGTCCCCTACGTAGAGCGCTACTGTTCAAACAAACACGATCATCATTAACAAGCAGTTGAGTTTTAAATAAGGACTTTGTAGCCTGTTGTTAATGTTGATTATAGATGACTTAGTCGAACGTTTCACGCACTCTTTGGGTGAAGGATTTGCTATTTCATGATCCACGAAGTGCACTACATAGGGAAGATAGTGTGCTTTGAGGCGGGACCTCGCGCGAGTAAACGCTGCGTGCTGCTTTTAGGAAAAGTTTCAGAGATTAAACTTCAGGAGTGATTCTGCCGCAGCTCAGATGCGCGTTAATTTTAAATTATGTTTTAGTTTTTAATGCTTTTAAAGAAGCAGCTTCACAGGTGAAGACACACTGTGTGAGTTCTACACTGTCTGCAGCTCACAGCGCGGTCACGCAATTCCTCTGTGATTTTGGCTGTTTTTCCTTGTGCACTGTATTGATTAGGGGTTCAGCGCCACAACGGCACAATAATGCTGCAGTTGCAGTTCGGACAGAAATCCCCCGAGTGCAACACTTCTTAGAAGTAGTAATTTTCCATTAAGACCCACCTCAGAGTTGGTCGAGATTTAATTCTCTATGCAGGGAAATCCCTAGTTATTGTAATTAATAATAATAATAATAATAAGAAGAAGAAGAAGAAGAAGAAGAAGAAAAAAGAATAATAACAGTAATAATAATAATAATAATAATAATAATAATAATAATAATAACTGTAATAATAATACATTTGCTATTCTTTTGTTTACAGAGTATTACAAGTATTGTAAGTAATACAAAAGTAATACTAAAAATGTATTGACCTTATTAAAATAAAATTTGGTGAAACGAGTTTCAGTTTGTGTATCAGTATTTATTTTTTTATTTATTTTACTTTTCAAAACATTTGAACAATATCGCGATAATCGTGATAATTTTGGTCATGATAATCGTGATATGAGATTTTAATATCGTTTCATCTCTAATGTACACTAATACTATCATGCTCTCCAGTAGCATGACAGTTTATTTCCGTGCATTATTCGACGTATTTAATGTCATAATGATCATTTCATATCGTGAATACTCGAGTGCCTGATATTTCTTCAGTCTAACATATCTTTTTGTCTTGATATTTTTCTAGAACTTTTAATGGTCTTTGTCTTCTTATTTTATTTTTATGAAGCACTCTGAAATGCTTTTATGATTTGTAACCTGTTTTTTTAAGCACTACATTACTATTGCACTTTGATTTATTTTTCTTTCTACTCTGTAAACTTTGTAAATGATTTAAAATATGATAAACAAATAAAGCCGTGTGAATGAGCATGGTGTTATGTTTCTTTACAAGAACGCCAGAAAGTAAGTTGTTTTGGAATATAAGAACAAAACAATGTGTTGTTCAGAAGATGATTGTGTTTAGAAATTCATCTTCAATTAACCACAGCCAATATTCATCTTCAATGCCTGAGTAATTGCTTTGTCTGTGCCCGAAGAAGCACAGACCTCTACACAATCATACAATGTACAATTTAACCCCAATATTCATTCGTGACTCATATTGGGCACATCCTTCATTGGTGTGCCTACTGAAGTACTGCTACACGATACATCCATAAAATAACATCCAGCATTGCATGTTATGTGATTATTTATAATAGATTTGTTTTATCCTCCAACAATTTAATGTTATCACTGATGTTGACAATATATGAATATATGCACTTACAAACTGCAGTTTCATACACACCACTTAGAAGTAGAATAATTCACCTAAATGGCACACCCAGTGGCATTGACTGCTAATTGAAATGTGTTCAATTTGTATAGGCTAAAGACCACTCAC